CGGGTTGAGGTGCGATTTCTTTGGTTGAAGTAGCATTTGTTTGTTTAAGTAATTCGTTGGATGGGATAACATTTGTTGTTTTTGTGATAGACGATACGTTAGATTTCTGGTTAGTCCCTCTACTACGAGTAGACGCTTCTGTTTTGTCCTGCTTAGAAAGGTTTATGAAGGCAGGAGTTCGTTTTCTATTAGTTACAACTTTTGGTTTTTGAGTTTTTGTCATCCTTGCAAGTCTAAATGTGACTTGCTATTTGAGGGATGAACATTTTTATACCAATTGGTTAGTTCTTTTCTTACTAACCTGATAAAAAATTACTAACCTTCTTTTTTTTGAAGAGGGGGTATTTCTTTCCGGATCAACTTTTTAAAGCTGTTCTTTTTGTTTTCCAGTACTTCTTGCTTTCAATATTTTCGTCTAGAAGTCGATCAATATCGAGTTATTTCAATTTTAATATAGATTGAATTTTTAAAGTTATTTACTTTTTCAATCGATCATATGGTGGATAGATGATTTGAATTGTAGGAGATTGTATGCGTAGGACGGACGATGACTATTGATTATTTGGTAAAGGAATGTGCCTAGGAAATATTGTCTTCCAGGAATATTCCAGGAAAGGAAGGGCCATCCTAATTCAGCATAGTGGTGCGAAACACGGGAATACCTCAGGGTCCCTGTGACAAATCTTACGGAGGCATTCATAATTCTTTTCAGTCTCTCCCCGAGTTCTGCCCGAGGGCACTGTACCCCACGCAGCCGTAATCAAGGTGGGGGAAGATGAGGGAAGTTACTAGTCTACGTGTGGGGATGGGTAGGAGATGGCGGAAGCGATGGAATAGTTTCAAGGTAAGTATTGACCGTCGGGAAATGTGAGCAATATGGTGTTTCCAGGAGAGGGTTTGGTCTATGAAAATGCCTAGGTATTTTACTGAGGAGGTGAAGGCAATGGGATGGTCATTTAGGTACAGGATAGGTATGTTGGTATTGGCTCTGAGAAGGGGTTTGGAACCAATGATAATGGCTTGAGTTTTTGTAGCGTTTAATCTTAATCCATTTAAGTTTGCCCAGGCACTGATCCGATTCAAGTCTTCTTGAATTTTGGCAAATGCCTCATGCAACTCTGAGGGATGGAAGGAAAGGTAAAATTGGGAGTCATCGGCGTAATGGTGATGGGAGCAGTGTAGGATTGATTTATGGATGTCATTGATATAAGAACTAAAAAGGAGGGGAGATATGCTAGAGCCCTGGGCCACTCCTGCAGACAAAGTAAGATAGGAAGACAAGGGTTGATTAGGGATAGCGACAGCTAGTGAGCGTTGGGAGAGAAAAGATTGAAACCACAGGATAGAACTATGGGAAAAGGATAATGATTTTAATTTGAAAAATTGATTAGGGCGGATTGTGTGGAGTATCCTGGTTGGAAACCAGATTAGTAAAGGTCAAGTTGATTGGACTGTTCAAGGAAGTTGGAAACTTGGGATTGCACGATACTCTCCAGGGGTTTGGAAAGGTTAGAAAGGATTGAGATTGGCGGGAAATCTTCAGGGGAAGACGGATTAGAATTTTTATTTAAAGGACGGACTGTGCTTTTTTCCGCAAGGAAGGGAATACTGAATTTTGAAGGGAAAAATTGTAGATGAAAAGGAGTACCGGAAGGATTTCAGGGAGGCATAATTTAATTAATTTGACGGGAATGCCATCTGGACCAATAGAATTAGAGTGTGATTTCATCACGGCGGATATGAGGTCTGTGAGAGAAATATCTGAAAAATAAAAATCGGCGTCATTGAAAGATGTTACAGGAGAAAAGAAGGAAGGGGGAAATGGAGGAGTTGAAGAGGAAGCAGATATAAAATAAGAATTGAAGTCATTTGGTGAAACTGGGAGCACTGCAGAGGGAGGGGATCTGGAAGTATCACAAAGAGAGAGTTTTTGAAGGAGTAGCCATTTGGATTTGGAATCAGGAGCTGAGGAAAGGGCTTCATGGAAATAGGTAGATTTGGCTCTTCTGATTGTGGTTTATGTCATGTTGCGGAGCGGCCTGAACGCTTGATAGTCGTCAGCCAATCCAGTGCGTCTAAAGCGTTTACGGGCTGCATCACGCCTCTTCTGAAGATCCTTAATTTTCTGACACATCCAGGGAGCAGGAAGGCGACGAAAGGTGGAGGTTTTGAGAGGTGCATGGTCATCAAGGATATTAATAAGATTGGAGGTGAGAATGTCAACCATGGAATCAATTGAGGTACAGGAATATATTATATTCCAATCTATGGATTCTAGGGAAGGTAAGATTTTTTCCCGAGTAAGGCCATTAAGGTTACGGAAAGTTATGGTTCTCGGTAGGATCGGAGGGGTTTGGATATTATAGGATATTTGGATTAGGTCATGCGACGATAAAAAGGAAACTGGTAATTGGGAAGAGGAAAGGAGGTTTTGAGCATAATCAATAATGTACAGGTCCAACCAAGTGTCGGACCTTGCGGTGTGATGCGTAGCAGAAAAAGGAACGATAAAAATATGAAGGGAGAAAAAAAGGTTTTCTAGGTATGATTAATCGCTGGAGTCGGAGAGGAAATTGGTGTTTAAGTCACCGGAAATGATAATTTTGGAATAAAGGGGCACAAACCTTCTCCACCGTCATTTATTAGGGACCCAGTTAACTGGGACCTTTTCCGCTTAATCATCTCCGATAAAATTAATCTTAACATATCTCTCAAAACTCCCGATGACCTTGATAGTGCCGTAAATTCCTTTACTACCACAATCCAACAAGCCGCCTGGACTGCCTCCTTCCCAAAAAACTCCTCCAGAATTCCTAAAAAAACCATTCTACCCCAACACCTCCTTGAACTAATCCACACCAAACGCCGTGCCAGATTATTGTGGCGACGTACCCGACATCCTACCGACCGCTGCTCTAAAATTTCTCTACCATTGTTTTTCGTAGACTTGGAGACATCACCAGGTATCGAAAAAATATACGATATCACATTATATACGATTATATTATACAATGGTGAAAGTAGAGAAACCATACCCCAAGAGAGAAATCGTGCTGTGCCATAATTGTCAGGCGTACAGCCACACGAAGACTTATTGTCACCATCTGACGGATTGCATGACGGTTCCAAAGCGTTCGACACAGTTGACCATAACATCCTTCTTACGAAATTGCACAATCTTCCTCTATCCTACAGTGTCCAGCGTTAGTTCAAATTGGTCCCAGTATGTAAGCGCCCCAGGTCAACTTCCATCACCCACCTCCTCTCTTGTGGTGTCTCTCAAGTTTCTTCTCTATCTCCTTCTCTGTTTGCTTTTTACATTAATGGCCTTCTCCTCCTGATCCGTCACTCCCAATACCATATCTATGCAGATGATTTCCAAATATACCTGTCCTTCCCGCCCTCCAACCTATTATCAGCGACAGAAAAACTTTAAGAAGACTTGGATAAGATTTGTGACTGGGTGAGAGCCAGTTGAAGTTGAAGTTGAAGTTGAATGCGGAAAAGACAAAGGCAATCTTAATTGGCTCCAATCACCTCCTTAAAACTAATCCACATATTCCAACTCTATTCCTACATGATGATCCCATCAAATTTTATCCCACTATCAAAAACCTTAGAATAACCTTTGATCAAACGCTTTCCTGAAAAAAACATGTACCCAACATCTCTTGCCGTACCATTTCCACCTTAAACCTACTTTCGTCACCTATTTCTCCTTCAAATCCGTAGGCTGCTGGTAACTTCCTTAATTTTTCGACACTTTGACTATTGATGTACAGTATATGGGGGCGACTCGGGGATCTCGAGGCGAAACTAAAACGTTTGATAAATTGCTTTATACGATTCCTCTTCGGGATCCCAAGGGATGCCTCTGTTTCCCGTTTTATGTAGAGTTGAAGTGGCTCTTTCCTTCCTACCGTCGTAAATATTTCCTGGCATCCTTCCACTTTCAAGTCATCCAATCCCACCGACCTTCATACATCTCCGAGCTCCTCCAATTCAAATCCACTGTTCGCTCACTCAATGCTCGTTCCAGGTCTTCTGATTTATACATAAGGGCCCACTGAACCGCCGCTTTCGACAGATCGTTAATTATCCGATCCCCATCCCTATGGAACTCCATCTCTTCCCACATCCGTCAATCCAATACCCTTCCTACCTTTAAATCCTGCCTGTTCAATAATTTCTTATCCAGTCCCCATAAAATTGTAAATAGATACCACTGTAAATATGATCTAATATAAATTATTAGATCGTTCTTCATTATTTTTACTTTATTTTTTATTATTAAGTTAGAAAGTAAATTATATTTTTTATTATGACTATTTAATTACTCAGCATTTTTTTTATATATATCAGGCTCCTTAGCTCACATTCCTGGCCTTCTGTATTATTCTAAAGGGACTCGTCCCAGAATAAATAAATTAGTATTATTAAAATTGTGTGGTCTTTTTATAGTATAAATATCCGATGTCGTTTCCCTTCCCCTGTTGTCTCATTCTTTTGCAATATTTTAGGACAATTTAGTGTGGGGGAGCCCGGAATTTGGTTGTAGACAAGTGGGAACCAAGGAGGGAGAACAAGAGAAGAGCGACGATTGGTGATAAGTGAGGTTGTTGATATTTCTCTTGGTGACCGATTCGTTGGATTCATTTAGCGATTGTGGTGGTACTTTTTTCGTTTGCTTCACTATTGTAAAGAAGCGAAGTGTCCGGAAGGGGATGTAACTAAAGAAACAATCATCATCAACCAGAGGAAGAAAACCCGATTTGGAGTGGAGAGTGAGCAGCCTGACTTCAAGACGACCCTGGCCATGACATTGAGGGGATTCGACGTCATTATCCAAAGGCTTCAAATATCTAAGACTGTTATCTGACACTGTTAACCTACCCCCCTCCCTTCGATATTTCCTAAGTGTCGGTGCCTATGAAGAAAGGTAACAATATTGAAGAATTTCTCTAAAAAATATATGCTTTAACATCTGTTTAAATTTTCAGAGGGGAAATCATTAGCAGCGAGTCGGGATTGTAAATACATTGAGACCTCCAGTGGAATACAGCATAACGTTGACGAGTTACTCGTTGGTAAGTGTTTTTATAATTCAATAATACTGTATTAAAAAAAGTTAAGTAAATGAACAGTGTAATTTTATATTTACAAGCTAGGCCAATTTCCTTCGCTCACCATTAATAAATTGGTTTTATATGTTGAAATAAATTGTTCAATATATCAAACTAAACGTTTAGATTTAGTAAGTATATAAAATGAAAAGTCTTATGTATGTTAGTATCTTTTCTCATTTGAAAATGTAGTCTCATAATACATATAAAAATAATTTAACGCAAAGGATTTTTCGTACCAATAAATATATTATAATTTTTAATTTTTTATATTGAAAAAAATATTTTTTTTTTGCTCTCCTTCCTCGCCTTTTAGGCTTTACAGGGATTTTCTTGAGCCAGAGAAAAGGGCGAGGGATTAACGTCAGAGATAAAACTCCCCAGCACTGAGATTTGAACACTGCCTGGGAGGGCTTGATTTTATTTCGTGGCGGACCGACGGAATTATGGGCTATAATTATTCATTCAAACTAATAATACAAGTAATCTATAAAAAATGTTGCTTGTGCCAAAAATGGTTCGAATTTCCCACGTTACGGCGATTGGGAGGGGGGGCAGATCAGAAGATCTAAGAGATAACACTTAAGCCTCAAGAACTGCTGGTTTTTCTCGGAGCACTTCTCCTCTGGCAGCCACTCTGATCACACCACCGGCACTTGACGGCCCTCAAGGTAACTAAAAGATATAAGCTGGCATAAAGATGGTAAGCTATTTTTTACACAATCAGTATAACCTACCAATTTATTAAGATATAGTCCGCTGCACAAAAGTAGAATGTTGCCCGTAATTTTGAATGTTGCCTTATTGATACTCATGAGAGTTATTTGCCTTAATTAGAAAAGTTATCTCAAAATTTGATTCACCGGACACGATTAAATAGTTTTTTTTTTTTTAATTTCTATTATTATATTTACAACTGTATTAGTATAAATACATCAAGTAAATGAGTACAGAGAAATATAATCACATGAAAACAGAGGAATATAATCACATAAAAACGCTTGTTGAGAAACTACCCATTGGTAGTACTCTAATAATATGTATACATGAGGAGATCACGGGGCCATCTTCTTTTCAGACGCCTCGAAGGGTTATAGGGTTATCAGTAATCGAAGAGGAAGCAATGTTAGAAACAAGAGGATTCGGATGGTTATGAAGTTTATTATGGAAGGATAAGTATCTATATTGGGCCGAATCGGAAACATGTGGAACATTAAGGTCTTTATGGATTATTTTATTTGTGACAAAGTAAGGGGCATTTAGGAGTTTATGAAGGATTTTGGATTGCAAGGATTGGATACGAGAGGAACTCTTCATAGCTCAACTCCGTACGTCCAAATAGGTCTTATTGTAGTCATGTATATGAGTAGTTTGTAATTGATTGCAAGTTTAGAGCATTTGTCCAGTAAGTGTTGGAGTAAGTGGAAACGTCGAGCAGTTTCTTTTCGTTTCAGTCTTACATGAGGATTCCAAGTGAGATGTTTGTCCAGGTGGAGTCCTAGGTTTCGGATTTGTTCTACAGGGATAAGTGGGGTGTTATTAAAGGATACTGGAGGACAGCAAGTCATTGGTTTACGACGAAGGACAAAAGTGAATTGATAGGATTTATTGGAATTTATTGTAATCCTCCAGTTTTGATACCATTCTTCAAGGTTTGTGATATTGTGGTCACCGGAGATGATTATTCTGGCATGGAGGGGAACGAAATTCAATAGGGTAGATTCAAAGGACGGGTGAAATGGAACAAGAGGAGGACGATATATCACAGCGTAAAGGAGAGAAGTATTACAGAGGATTTCAACTAATAGGATTCAATTTGTGGGTGGTTGGATCATTATTAACTGACACGATAGATAGATAGATACATAGATAGAAAAATAATTTTATTCTGGGACGCAGTCCCTTGAGAATAACAAAATAGAACAAAATTCAAAAGATTACATCTGGCCAAAATAAAATCAATAGAACAAAATAAATAATGTAAAGAAAATATAAGGTAAACATTCTATTTACAAAATAAATGAAACTATATACAAAACAATTAACACTTTTAAGAAAACAATAAAGAATTAAAAAATAAAAGTATATTAAATTCTTCATTAAAATAAGCTTTGTGTTTCTGTTGAGAAAACAGAAAGCTGGATCTGACAATATAAAGTGCCTGATTAATATATAAATACATTATCATTTACATGTTGATTAATGTATAAATACATCATCATCATTTCTTAACGTAACAATAGGCAAGAATTTAGTGCAGTATAAAAGATTATAGTTATAAACTACCAATAGATGCGTTCAGTGACATCAAGATTAGGACAATCTGCACCCTATAAGAAAACTAATATCTCTAGCAAAGAATAGAATTGATATTTGACAAAGAATGATATGAAATAAATGTATGTTGTCAAATAGTTTACAACTATCTGACTGTTTTTGGGATAGGAATTGGAATAGGAGGTTTTGAATGTGGATATGGATAGGGAGGGAATTCCAGAAATTGACAGAGCGAGCAATAAAGGAGTTTTGAATGAGGCAGATCTGTGAGAAGGCATGTAAAGGTTAGAAGGCCGAGATCTTGTGGACAGGGATGGACTGGAGATTTGAACTGGAGAAGGTTGTAGGCGTATGAAGGACGATGGTTGTTGATGATTTGATAGAGGAACGTACCTAGGAAATATTGTCTTCGGAAGGATGGGAAAAGCCACTTTAACTCAGCCTAGTGGTGAGAGACATGGGAGTATCTTGGCTCTCCGATCACAAATCTTATGCAGCTGTTCATTAGTCTTTTCAGTCTATTGCGGAGCTCCACAGAGAGACCATCATACACCACACAGCTGTAGTCAAAGTCGGTGTAAATGATAGAGGAAACTAGGAGTTTACGCGTATGTTGAGGTAGGAAATGGTGGAAGCGATGAAATAGTTTGAGGGTGGAAATTGTCCGTCGAGAGATATGAGAAATATGGTGATTCCAGAAGATTTTTTGATCAATGAAAAATCCTAAATTTTTAACAGAGGAGTAGAAGGAGATTGGCTGGCCATTAAGGTGAAGGATGGGAAAGTCTGTAAGGGATCAAAGAAGGGGTTTGGAAGCAATGACAATGGCCTGAGTTTTGGCAGCATTTAACCTCAGCATTTAAGGTGTTCTTGGATCTTGGAAAATGCTCCCAATAACTCAGGAGGGGAAAATGATAGGTAGAGTTGAAAACCGTCTGCATAAAGGTGGTGGGAACAATCGAGAATTCATTTATGTAGGCCGTGATTTATGCAGGAGCTGAAAAGGAGAGGAGATATGCTTGAACGCTGGACAACTCCAGAGGATAAACGAAAGCAGATAGTGGTTGATTGGGTACGGAGAATGCTTGGGTACGTTGTGAAAGGAAAGATTGAAACCAAGAGATGGAACTATTGGAGAAGGATAGTAATTTTAGTTTGTTGAAAAGGATGGAATGGTTAATGGAATCAAAGGCTTTGGAAAAGTCGAGAAGGGTAAAAATAGTTAACTTTTTATCATCTATTGCAGTTTGAATGTCGCTGGTGATTTTAATTAAGACGGTTGTGTGGAGTAGCTGGGGAGGAAAGCAGATTGAAGAGTTGGTTGGACTTTTCAAGGAAGTTGGAGACTTGGGATTGCACCAATCTTTCTAGGGAATTTGAGAGCTTGGAAAGAATTGAGATTGGGCGGGAATCTTCGGGTGAAATCGGATTAGAATTTTGATTCAAAGGAAGGACAATGGCTTTATTCCAAGATGTAGGGAATACTGAATTCTGAAGGAAGAAATTGTGGATGGAGGACGATATATCACAGCGTAAAGGAGAGAAGTATTACAGAGGATTTCAACTAATAGGATTCAATTTGTAGGTGGTTGGATCATTATTAACTGACATGATAGATAGTTAGATACATAGATAGAAAAATAATTTTATTCTGGGACACAGTCCCTTGATAATAACAAAATTAAAAGATCACATCTGGCCAAAATAAAATCAATCGAAAAAAAGAAATAATGTAAAAAAAATATAAGGTAAACATTGCTCAGGATGGGTAAAAAGGAGATAGGAGGATGGTTTTTCTGGTGGCTTTTTGGGTTTATGTATCATTTTGATAATAGATAATTTCCAAGGGTCAGGAAAATATGTGGATCCCAGTAAAGCATTAAATATATATAAGTAAGGAATTGAATGGCTTTCCGAGGAAGCAGGTTTAGGATCTGGGATGTAATTAGGTCGTGTCCAGGAGCTTTTCGGGAAGGTAACCTTTGAATGATATTGGATATTTCTGATGGATGAAAAGGTTTCAACGGAACAGACATTTGGAGTGGGATATCCAGTTCTGCTTCAATACATTCAAGGTGATTTGGGTTAAGAATATCGGGGTGTGGATTAAAGATTTTAAAGAAGTGATGAGCAAAGATTTGTGATTTTTCTTCATCGGATTTGGACCAGGTTTGAGCTTCAGTAAGAAGTGGATGATTACAGTCTTTAAATTTCAGGAGCCTTTTAGTGGTCGTCCACAGTGATTTGTCGATAGGTGTAAATTTTTCAGTAAAATTTATTAAATTTGGAATTTTGTATTTTCTAATTTCAGATTTTAGTTTGTTAGACAGTTGGATGTAATGAGTTTTATCTGTTGGATATCTGGTTCTATGCCACTTCGATCTTGCTCTGCGTTTTTCCTTCAATAAGATACGAATATACTGTGGCAAGCTGATCTTTTGTAAATCTTTAATCTTACTGATAAAGTTGTTATTATTTATACTGACTGTTATTGATGTTGTAAGTTTTTCAATGGCACCATTAATGTCTTCTTTTGTCTTTAGCGGAATTTTTAAGTCTAGTTTTTTTTTTCCAAATCATCCCGAAATTTGTCCTAGTTTACTCGTCCTGTAATCAATTTAGGAGGTGATGGTTTAAGAGCATAGCTGGAATGTAGTGAAAGTAGAACTGGACTATGGTCTGAAGAA